AAATACTTTTCTAGACTGGTTGTTCCTGCCAAACTTTCAAAACCAACCTTAGGTAGACCTGTTCTAGAACCAATCAAAGGAGTTATTTTTTAACCTGTCGAAAAAAACGATTTTTGCACTAATGGAAATGGTGATTAATGAGATTTTTAAATAGGAGCAATCACGAAAAATATAATTAAATATTCCCCACTTGATAACTTATATTTAAAAAAAAAAAGCATCTATTTTTCCAAAAAGAAAAGTGTCTCATACCGAAGAATTCAAATTTGTTGCTTCCTTTATCTATCAAAACTTTGAGATCAACTTTATTTTTCAAGGTTTTTTATTTTGTTAAGAGTTTAACTTAAAAACAGAAGTTCGTCCCTTTAATTAATTAACTAAGTTTGAGTGTGTGTGTGAACATTAAATATACTTCCTCCATCTCTTATTATAAGATCCTTTTAACTAACTTAAGCGGTTTAAGAAAAGAGTTAAAATTAGTTAAAATCAATTAATATATAGCAAATGCAATTTGTTTTCCAAGTATATCTTTATATATAAATGGGTAAATATGATAGAGTAATAGTAAGATAAATAAAAAAAGAGAATATATTAAATACATTAAATTAGAAATAAAATAGGTAATAATCCATTAAATGCTCAGATAAATTCAAAAAGAATCTTATAAAAAGAGACAAACCCATTCAAAATATTGAATCTTATAATAAGGAACGGAGTAATATACTACTATTGCTTCTAGTGTTGATACAAGAACTATTTAGGAGTTAAATTTGATCATAAATATAACATCTTAATTCATTTTGTCTCTCAAATTTATTATGTCATCTCTAAAATATTTTATTGATTGTAAGGGATTTTAATAAGAAATAGTTCCAATACACATGACTAAAAAAGTTAGTCTACAGAAGTCAACATACATTTATTACAATTAATCAACTTAACTAATTTTTTTAAAATTACTTAGTTAGCTCTCATATTAAATACAAGAGGTAGTGCTTCCAATTAAAAATGTAATACTCAAATATCACCTTATAATTAAGACATAATATTTCTAATTGTCAGAAGTAAAATTACATGTTAGAATCTAGACATAATAAATACCTTCCCTTATCCTTAATATAAAAGCTACTTATTGATTTGGATAGATTAAATAAATTGACTAAGTTAATTAGTTATACCAAATATAAGTTGATGTCATTAAGGAAACCTTTTTTATTTATTAATCATGATTATATTTAGATAAAGACTCTCTTAATATGTATAATTAATGTAATCAAAAAAATGATTGGATTAAAAAATACGTATAATTAATTGATCAAGCAAGCGACCCGTCGGCATGGTAAAGCTGCCAACGCTGACAATTGGCTGTCTGATCACCGGCAGAAAGCAACAGAATCACCTCCCACACACATACGCGCACAAAAATAAAAATTCTGATTCCGTTTTATTTTAATTTAATTATTATTAATGTCAACTTCTTAAGAAAATCCATTGGATGCTAAAACGGCACGAGGATGCTGCCTGCTACGTGTCATGCTTGGGTTCGGCGGTTGTCATTTAGGTGACATGCGCGTGATGGTATCAAACCGGAAGGGTCGTTTTAGTCAGGTCAGGTCAAGATGGATGGAGAGAAGGAAGGAAGGAAGGAAGGAACCTGTGCTGCTTCATTCTGCCTCGCGCGTTTACGACAAATGCAAGCCGTTTCTCATGGACTTGGACCACCTGGCCAGCAGTTTGTCCTCTTCATTTATTATTTTTCCAAAAATAACCTTCACCAATGCGTGGCGTTGAAAAGAAAACATGATCTCTTCAAAATCTTGTTTCTCACTCACTTGATGGCGATTATTCTTTTCCTAGCCTGTTAGGCATCATTCTTTATAAATTCAAGAAACAGAAGATATTGTATTATCAGAAAATTATTTGTTTTCAGAATTTTCAATTCTAGTATAGACTATGAAGGTTAAATATTTTTCTAGGTTTGTTTTCGGACGGCATTATTATGACCGATGAATTCTGAAATTTGAAAAAAAAAAAAGAAAAAAGATTGCAATTGTTGACAATGAGTTGTATCTATAAAAGATTCTTCAGGATACCATAAAAACCATCGTTTTCAGACAATCAAATTTGGTTTGGCTCCAAAAAAAAAAAAAGACGGTCAAATTTGGAAGGATTTTTTCCCCCTTTTTATCTCTTGTTTTAAGGAATGTAATTCTAGGGTAGTATCTATTTTTTCTTTTTTAAATTTCATAACTGTTATTCTATCTGTTTCGGAATTTTGTGAACATAATTAGTTTTCCCAACATACTCTTCTGATCCTTAATATAAGACTCATTTAACTAATTTGATTAGATTAAAAAAGTTAGGTAAATTAGTTAATTATAAGAAAAGTAACACATTTTTCCTAAAACACCATAATCATCTTTTTTAATACCCAATCTCCCTCTTCTACTTGTTATGGTTGAGGTAATATCTATAGGGGTAATTTAGAGAAAATTGATAAATATAATAAATATGTCTTATATTAGGACCAAAACTAACTCAAGAATTGGATCATATATTAAGAACCGGAGGAGTAATTCATAAAATCTTCGATTAACCGTTGGATTGAGTTAATGGCTGTAATTAAAGAAAAAGATCCAAGTCGCTAGGAGCCTAATTCGGACCCAAAAAACTATTTTTATGATTTAGTATGGTCGGACTGCAATTAAGCTACTATTGAGCCGAAGTCGAAATTAGATCGGAATTAGAACAATTCGTAGAAAATTGATTGGGCTTTGGGGTTAATGAAAAATGTTTAAAAAAAAAAAAACACAGCACCATAAAAATAAAAAGAATTGACCCTATAGCAAAAACCTAATATTCAGCCATTTGTAGCCATATGGTCTTATTTTATTACAAACTTCTATTATGAATTTTTTTTGCCAACATCTATTATGAATTTTATCTTATATATATGCATTATATCGTTTGTACGCACATAATTATTGTATTAAATTTTTATTTAATTATTATATTACATGTTGACTATAGGTTAGAAGTTGTGTGTGTATATACAGGTATAGCATTCAATGATTCAAAATATATCAGTAACTAATATAAAAGTATTAAAAATTATTCTGTAATTCTAATTAAAAAAAAAAAGAGAGATTATATATTTAAAATGATTCCTTTGCTGAAATTTATCTAGAAAGATTAAGCCGCTGTTGAAATGAATTGAAAGGGGTATTGAATTATTTTTTTATTGTTTATTTGGATTCATTGATTTTTCGAACCAAACACGTTAACATCACGCAAAAAAAAAAAAAAAACCAAGTTAAAATATGAACTACTACCTGCCATCCTAATTATAAGATCTTTTTTATAGTCTATAAATAAGGTCTTATAATTAAAACTAAAGATAATACTATATACTTTATTGCTGTACTACATCGCATGAAATTTAAAAATTGAGTTGCATTAATTTAGATTCTTAAGTCTCGTTGGTATAAAGTATTAAAAATGAAAGGTAATAATTATAATCGGAATTGAGAAAAACCATTACAAAGTATTTAATATAAGTAGTTTCTTGTTACATAAAATTAGACAACTCCATCTAGGTGAGATTGTGGAATACCACCTCCTCCCATAATATTCTAGAATTCCACATATATGAAATTATCCAATCACAGATAATAGGCAATATTTATACTAAATATTTTTTTTAATATATTTTTCACCCATAATCTTAATTTTTATCTCTCATTTTTAACATTTTATACCAAATGGTCTTTTAATTATTATTTAAAGTCTCTAATCAAATCATACTATCCGAACCAGCGAAATAGTTTGCTACTGCATTATATGTTATGATTGTCATTGACATTGTACTAAGCTGATAATATAACTATATTATCAATGGCGTTTCAGCTAAGTTGAAAAAAACTTGAGAAAATTAATGGAAAGTTCCTGTTTAAAAATTTTATTAGTTAGAAGGATTTAATATATTTTTTATATACTAAAAATACTACTCTTCCGGTCGTTAATATAGGATCCAATTCTTAAGTTGGTTGTTTTAGTCCTAAATATAAGACACATTTATCATATTTATCAATTTTCTCTAAGAAAGAGGGGAGAGGAGGTATTAAGAAAAGATGATTATGGTGTTTTAGGAAAAACGTGTCACATTTTTTATAATTAACTAACTTACCTAACTTCCTTAATCTAATCAAATTAGTTAAATGGGTTTTATATTAAAGACCGAGGAGAGTAATACTTGGCATGATTTTATACATAGAAATACTACTACTCAAATTCAGGTTGTAGTGATCAATAAAAATTTTAGATAGGAATTTTTTTTACCGATTCTTTTAAGAAAAACTGTAATTCAAGACTTAATTTTAAGTTATGGATAACAAAGAAGTTTTTTTTCCTCTGAAAGTTAAAGTTTCTATTAATTAAGTTTTAAAAAATTATTAAACATCCGAATAAGTTATGTAATTAAATAATTTTGATATTAACTTTCTTCAAAATTAATAACTAACTTGCCTAATTTGCCCCAAAAAATAATAAACTTGTCTCTAAAATTTAAGTTGTAAAAGATTCGTAATCCTAAAGTTTTTAATATAAGATTTATAAAATCTAAAACTTTAAATATACATTTAATGTTGGAGATCATGAAGAATCAATGACTACAAATCAAATACCAGGAGCGATCCAAATACAGAGGGCCTTTTGGAAGTGAACAAAGTCAAAAGCTTAAGAAAAGAAAGACTTAAAGCAATTCAATACAAAAACGGCCAAGTCTCGCATGTTACTTGCAGTAGTTTTTATTTTTTTAAAAAAACATTAATTTCCCAATTTATTACGGCCTTTGAACGTTGTCAAGAAATAAAAAATTTATATAAAAAAAAAAGAAAGGAAAAAGGCAACCTCATAAAAAGATAAGCAAAAAAAGTTTGTTATATTCTTTCTTTCTTTTTTTTTGGGAAGAAAAATAGAGATAAATTTTGCGTTGCCTTTATTAATATAGTTCTCTCTCAGAAACATACCAACCAGGAAGACGAACAGAGTATTCGCTCTCTGTTTTTCATCGTTCGGTGTCTGACTCTGATCTTCTTGCTTCATGTTCATGGAGAAGCGCGAGTGCAAGCTTTGCTCCAAAACCTTCGCTAATGGCAGAGCTCTGGGAGGTCACATGAGGTCTCACATGAAGAAGCTTTCGCTACCTTCCAAGCCACAGGAATCCCGATCGCCTTCTCCCACTTTACTGAGTTTCGCGGCCGACTCGCCTTCTTCTTCTTCTTCATCTGAAGATGAAGGAGACAACGGTCTGAGTTATGTCTTCAGAGGGAAACCGAAGAGGAGCATTCGCATCGTAGATCCTGAGTTTTCGTTTGTTGTGGATCCTAACGGCTCTGTGATTCAAGACAGAGAGAGCGAGACGGAGACCGAGTCATCCAAGAAGCCAAGTCGGAAACGATCCAAACGAGCTTGGAAACTCGGTAGTTCCGATGATGATGACGATGATGATGATCACTACTGTCACAAGAAAATTCAGCAACAAGAAACAGTGGGAAAAGTCAAATCGAACGAACTGTGTAAGACCGAGTCGTGGATTCCGGAGCCTGAACCGGCGAGTTCGATCTCCGATACGACCACCGAAGAAGACATCGCGTACTGCCTTATGATGCTTTCTAGGGACAAATGGAAGAGACAAAAGGATCTGAAAGACCAATACGACATCGCGGAGGAAGACGAGGACAAGGACGAAGACGAAGACGCGGAAGAAGACGAAGGCGATGAATCCGAGGGGGCTTTGAAAGCGTTGAAATCCAGAACTCGCGGTAAGTACACGTGCGAGACGTGCAAGAAGGTGTTTCGATCTTATCAAGCACTTGGTGGTCACAGAGCGAGTCACAAGAAGATCAAAGTGGAGCCCGAGAATCATAACAATAATGAAGGCACTTCATCTTCTTCAATGTTGGATAAGAAAATTCACGAATGCCCTATCTGTTTCAGAGTTTTCTCTTCAGGTCAAGCTCTTGGGGGACACAAGAGGACCCATCTTACTGGGTCGTCGTCGACATTACCGACTCAAACTTCCACTAAGCCGGTCGAAAATTTCATAGATCTTAACCTTCCTGCTCCGACGGACGAAGACGACATCAGCCAAATCGACAATTCTGGAGTTTCAGATGCTGAATTCGTCATTGATCGCATCAGACAGTGAAGAAATTCTGGTGCTTTAGCACCTAGATTACTTCAATTCAAAGGTAACTAAAAGAGAACAAAGTTTTGGTCAAATTTTCTGTATAATTTTATATAACTTATATGCTTAATTAGTCTTTAATTCTTTCCTTTTGGAATTCTAACTTGTAATTCAGTTCTCCTGAATTATGATGCTTTGCTTCTGTAACAAGTGACTTTAATTAGCATCCATTAATGGAGGAACCCAACTATTGTGTTTAGGGTTGTTACTCTCTGTTAATTACTCTATATTCGAACTTTATTTTCTTTTCCTTCAAATTAAAAAAACCATGAACTGATAGAAAATTTTTTTTTTGGTGTTTATTTGTTTCCTCCACTATGCAAAAGAAATGCGAAGCGTGCGTGTTGTAGTGGACTCTGTTTCAGAATATTAACTATGGGAAGTTTTAAATATAAAAGTCGTCCTCTTTTTCTTTTCTTTTTTTTTTTTTGGCCAGAAAATATCAAAGTCGTTCTCACCAGAAGTTGATCAACCTCTGTGTCAGAAACTAACTTCTACCTTTTTCTAGTTTTTTTGGTATTGACTAACTGTTTTTCCCTTAAAAAAATTAGTTATAATTATATTATAAGAGAATTATTTTTGTTGATTTTTTGGCCAATATTTGGGCGTGGGTTAAATTAGCCATTTTATTCATCTATTCAATTCCGGGGGATGGGTACTTTTTTATTATTTTCATCCTCAAGTTTTTTTTTTTGGAACTGGGACAAGAAGATATATTCCAATGCACTTTCCCACTTTTTCTTTTCTTTTTTCCTTTAAATTTCCCCTATTCATTAGACGCTTTTTTGGTTTGGGGGGGTGGGGACGCCGTTATTTTCATGAGATTTAATGAATTTTTGGAAAAACAATTTTGTGGAATCTTAGTCTGGGCAAAAATGATGTGTCTTCAAGACTTTGACTAAACGGAATAAGTGAATTAGTTTTTTTTTTTTTTGTGTTTTTTTGCCATAGAATAAGTGAATTAGCTGAAATGCCATAAGTGGGTTCCAGAAACAACCTCAATGTCAAGCTTAAGACGAAGGAAGGAAAGAAAGTGGGATCCCATATTTTCTGATAGATCAATTTGACCAACTATTGAGTTGAACCTGACTTGATATTTTGTAGCATGGCAGGTCAATTTTGGTTTTGTGGAAAATTCATATCTGAAATTATTTTTTGTACAAAATAATTGTCACTATAAAAAAAGTTTTTGTCTCTTAGGGGGGACTAAAGACGTGGTCAATAGAGAAACGGAAAAAGTCTTTGCTGAAAAAAGATTTCTTCCTTTTATTTAATTGGAGCTTTCATTCCGTGATCACTTTTATATAATAACACTTTGGAAATCAAATACCAATTTGAATTCAATTAGTTCATCTGTTAATTAGATCAGAAACTGTAGTTAATCACATAATTCAAACGGATTCTAGAAATTAAATAGTTTGACAGATAATTTAAAACAATTACTTTTTCTCAATATCATAATTCATAATTTAAGTAAAACGAACCTATCTCTTTTATGATGTACGTAATAAATTAAAAAAAAAACTTCCCTCAATCTTTCATACGAGAGATTTTTTTGAGGAACGCTTGTTACTATTTATAGGAGATACTAATGGTAATTATCCACTTAATCTTTCTGAATAAATAAGAATTTTTTTATTAAAAAAACTTGTATTTCTAGCATATTTATTATCTTTAACTAGTTTTAACTAATTTTTTATCTACTATTTGTATATTATAAAATATAAAATAAACTAGACAAAGCAAAAATAATTAATATCTTGTTATATGACATGAATTAATCACAAATTGTTGTGCTGGTAAAACATTATATTGTGAATTCTTTTATGAAAATGGATTGTGTTATTTTCAGGGCATGATATGATATGATAAGATAAGAATTGTTTTGTTTGTTGGTTTGGTTTTGTAGTGCTTGGGGTTTGTATTTTATTATTGTGGCTTTGTCAAATTGCTTCATAATGGAAGGCACTGTTGAGTTTTAGACTTTTAGGAGAGGCTCCCATTTCTGTTGAAATAATATCTGACTGGTTAACAACTATACCCATTTTGATAAATTACCAATAAATTATTAATATTAATTTAATAAATGTATTACTATAAACTTATGGAAGTTGGTGGCTTCAAAGTTAGATGGATGGCATATAGCTTAGTGGTTACCACTTCACTGTTTTTATTTTATGTCAAACTTTAGTGCATCAGAATATTTGCAGTTTGTCAAGACTTTTTATATTTTATATGGATGGAATTTTATTTTTTTATAGATTGTTTTCTTTTCTAATTTTTGGTGAAAAAGAATAATTATTTTAAATGAATTTTTAATGGATCTGAAAATTTTAAATGTATTTATAGTACTTACTTAAGCTCAATATCTGCTTAGTGTTTTCCAAACAAGTTTCAGGGAACATTTTTTACAACTTGATGGGATCGATACCGAATATATTTTAATATATAATTAGAAATTAGCATAATCTCGGTAGCTTCTCTGTTTGCCCAAATATTCTTCACTTTGGAATCTCCTAGTTATGGAAGAAAAGTGTTCATTAGTTTTGAAAAAGCATCCACAAATATTCTCGACTATATTAAAATATATTCAATTAAAATTATTGAGAAAATTATGAATTGTAATTTTTTTTGTTAATTTTAAATTTTAAATCCAATAATAATTTCATAATTTAAAATTGATTATAAACATATTGGATACAGGTTCGACTAGATTTGTAAGTCATATGCCCTTTCTCATAATCATCCAGGGTAGGCCATCCACTTTTTTTGGGCATTTGGTCAAACATTGGTGTACAAATATTCTCTAGAATGCCTATAAGTATATTCCCATATCAATTCCATATTGATTTGCAGAGACTTGTTAAAATGAAATTTGAAAAAGATTTTAAAAAATGTGGAAGGATTGGAAGATTCCATTCTGCCAAACAGCGAGACTAATTATTTAAAAAAAAAGGTTGAATTCCCACTAGATTGTTTGTTTATAAACATTTGATTAATTTATTGCTAAACATTTTACGTGTAACCGATCATACATGCATATATATTATTGGAAAAGATATCTATAGATTTCACTTTATACAATGGTGAGTAGATATGATGGTAATACGGTTTTTTAATCTTTAAGCAAGTGGTTAGGAGTTTGACTTTTAATTTTGTATATATGAAACGAGTTAAGTTAAGAAAAGTCTATCATTTATGAGTAATGGATGTTCTTAATTTCATACAAAAATGTGAACAAAATGCTAAAAATGTAGAAACAACTGAGTATAACTTTAAAGAGATTTTTTCCACCAACGGCAAAGGTTTTTCAAGATGACACAAAAAGTGGGTTTTTATTAAAAAAAAAAAAGGATCAAATAAACAAAATTTATTAGTATGCTAATCTTAAATAAAAATTTATTAATATTGATATTGATAATCTTATTAACCTAAGATTTTCGTTGTGCTTTAAGTGAGAAAATTTGAAAAGAAGGGGAAGCACTTTCAATTCTATCAAATGAGGTGCCAATTAAGGGCATGTTAGAACACGAGCATTCAGCACAAAAAATCAATAGCAATATTTTATTCCAATTATAAATTTTCAATTGTCGAGAGGAATTTTGATTTTAGAAATAATACCTTAACTTGACTTGTTTACTTGTGAATGGGTGAACATGAGTGGGAAAAATTCTCTATTATTAAAGCTAAGAAAACGAAAAAGAGTAGGCTTTTTAGCTTTTTCTTTTTTGAGTTGATGATAACCCCTTGTGATGAGCTTCCAAGCAAAACAACCATTCTACAAATCATTATAAAAAGGGGAAATGTCCACTCCAAGAAAGATCCAACAGCCAATATAATTCACAAGCTTTGGTATCACATTATATTCCACAAATTTTTTATTAAGATATTTGAAGTTGAAGATGGAGGAATAACTAAGGAAACTCTCTTATAGGTGAAAGTTTCAAATTGAAAAAAAAATGTAACAACCATTTTAATTAAACTAAATTATCTTAGTAATCAAGGTTATTTTGTTGGATGGATCAATTGAAGGGCCAAATGAAATTATTTTGGAATGAGACTTTTTGAATTTAGAAAAGTAGACATTTTAACTTTTTCACCGAGTCTTAATATGTAATTTTTGAAGGTTGGTAGAATATAATAAATTATAAATTTTTGAAGTTTATATAAATATATATATGTGCACATATGAGGCGGGGGAGGAAATAAAAGGGTTTCAGAGAGGCAGCCACTTAATTTTGAATTAAGGAAAGTGTTGGTAAATTTGGGGATAAGTTTGGGGATTTTGTTCATCAATTAGTTTGTACTCAAATGAGTTTATGAAAGTACATTTAGTGTTTAATTCATTTAGATTGCCTTTATTATGTGATTCGGAGTTTGGGTTTATATGTGAAAAGAAATATGATAATTTCACCAATTAAATTTGAATTTAATGGTTGTGTTACATTATTTTATTTAAGGTTGAATTGAGGATAACTAGTTTAATTTGTTGATTGAGATCGAATTTTTGAAGGATTTTGATGAATTGAGATTTGTACATGCTAAATCTTAATGACTAAGAATTAGTTAAGTAAAGATGCAATTTGGATTGGATAATTAAAGTGCATTTAGAACATTGAAGGTAGTTAAGTTTAAATGTCAACTTAATGGCAACGTCCTCTACATGCTTTGGTCATTAATATATTATGTTGTGTGTCTAATTATGTTTAATTGTATAAACTAAAAAATAGTTAAATCTAGATATTATTTCTCATATTATATTTGGTATAGTTAACTAATTTATTTGATTTTCTTACAAAAAGGAGTAGTATTAAATTACCACAATCCATATTTTTTATATCATCATATGGCCCTCAATCCTATTAAATCATACCTAAATATTTTTATTCAGATTAAGATACCACTCTTAACTTAATTATTTCCCCTATAACGTTCAGGCCACTAATCTTATTTGAGAGGAATCAAAACATATCAATTTACCTCAAGTTCCGTTGATGAATTCATTTAAAAAAATAAAATTATTGCTTTAGAGATTGTTAAAAAAAAAAAAGGCCCGAGGCAATCTTTTTTTTTTAAAATAACTTAGATGGTGAAAATATAAAATTTATACTAATAAATAATTTGACTTGTGTATATTTTGAATCTGTATAGTAGCGATAATATATGGAGGGGCCACGTGGCGCAAGAAAGTGACAAGGAGGATAAAAG